CTAAAGGAGACCCCAGCTCACAGGGTTATCCGACTGTCCTTATATTGTGTGCAAAATACACTTTTTTTTTCCTTTCCGACCTGAGGGTGTCAAACATGGAGTTCAGCATTATAAATATTCATTACCAGCCTGAAAACAAAGACTTCCAAAGATCTCTGCTTCTTGTAGAATTCCAAAACATTTATTTGACCTTTCTTTGGCTGCCTCCAAAGTCAACACCCAGGGTCCTCTGAAGGGAGCGTGTCTGATTGATGCTGCTCTTATTCTGCACACCCCCGCCAGGCCCCAAGTCCTCACCGCTGCCTGGTTATCTGTCTTCCTCGATGTTTAGCTATATCTCATCTACAACACGGGCTGCCTTCATTCTTGTGCTAATGTTATTTTTGAAAGGTTTAGGCTCAAATCCCTCAAAATCTATTTCTAATTTATAGGCAGCAGAGTGGAGGTAAAAGAGCACCGTCCATGGAATCAAATAAACCTGGATTTAACCACTAGCTATGTGACCTTCATCAAGCCGCTCGCCTTCTCTGAGCCTTCGTCTCCCGGCTCTTCTTCAGGTGGGAGTGGAGGTTAAGTGATAAGGTAAATACAAAAGCAGGTTCACAGGGCCTGACACATCACCCTCTCCCCACAGTTGCCCCTCTTTACTCTTCAGTGGAAGCCAGTTCTACATAGAATTATCTCACCAGGTGCCATTCCCTGAACATGCTGAGCTTGCATTTTTATTATCCACCTGTGTAGTCCACAGGACACTGGCCATGAAAGGATTAAGCAAGATGCCTTAGCTATTTCCTAAGGGTAATATAAAGAAATTTTCATTATGTCCATCTTTTTTTCCCCCCCCCCAAGGAACTGTTTCTAAGTCAGACTTTCAGCTGGAAGGAATTCAACTCATGGAAAAAAAACTTTCAAATCCCTCTCGTAAGTATTAAACATTGTTTGTGGGAATGTAAATTAATATAGCCATTATAGGAAATATTATGGAGGCTCCTCAAAAAATTAAAAAATAGAACTACTTTGTGATCTAGCAACTCCGCCCCTGGGAATATAGCCAAAGGAAACGAAATCTGTGCATCAAAGAGACAGCTTCCCTCCCATTTTTACTGCCAAACTATTCACAACAACCAAGATATGGAATCGACTTAGGTGTCTATTAACTGAGGGATGAGTGAAGAAAATGTGGTATAGTTTTATCCTGGACTACTACTATGCCATAAAAAAGATGGAGCCCTGTTATTTCCAACAGCCTAGAGAGACATGGAAGTCATTATATCAAGTGAAGTAAGTCAGGCATAGAAAGACAAATGCTACACTATTTAAGTCCTATGTAGAGGTTAGACAAAGCTGATCTCATAGAAGTAAGGAACAGGGGCTGGGGATGTGGCTCAATCGGTAGCGCGCTCGCCTGGCATGCATGTGGCCTGAGTTCAATCCTCAGCATCACATACAAACAAAGATGTTGTGTCCCCCGAAAACTAAAAAATAAATATCAAAATTCTCTCTCTCTCTCTCTCTCTCTCTCTCTCTCTTTAAAAAAAAGAAGTAAGGAACAGAGTAGTGGTACTGGAGGCTGGGGAGGGCAGGTGGGAGTGCAGGTGGGAGGACTGGCAACAAGTACAATGTTACAGTCACACAGGAGGAATATATTATGGTGTTTCATTTCACAGTAGGGTGGATGGAGTTGACAAGAATTCATTTT